TTTTCATCGCCTGAGTGAATCTGCTCTGCCAAAGCTGCTCAGCAGATGGCCATGCAGCATCTGGGCTGCCATTCATCAGTCAGTCTTCCTCTCTCATCTTCCTTTCTCATCATCCCTGCTCAGCTTCTCCTCCCTACAAGCATTCAGCCACTTCCCTAACCATTCCTCTGAAGTTCAGGGTTCCCCAATTTTTATTTGTATGTTTCATTTGGTCTCTTTGTTGTTCAAATCCACCAGTCACTCTTGGAAACCCTATACAGGGGCACTGTAAGTTGGAACCAACTCAACAACATACACAATAACAAAATTAGTTGATCGTTTGGGTTGCTAACCACAAGTTGGTGGTTCAAACCCTGTATGGGAGAATAAGGAGGCTCCTGTAAAGATTCAGAGTCTCAGAAACCCTAAGGAACAGTTCTTCTCGGACCTGTGCAGGTCACTGTGAGTTGGAATCTACTCAATGGCAGTAGGTATTATGTGCCAAGAATTGCATGGTACTAGGTATCTCCAATATTCACCCAATTTTTTCTTCATGTGAACCCTAAATGTGAGCCAATTCCTTTATTTAACAAAAAAGATTAAGGGACTTTCTCAAAGTAACCAGAGTACTGACAGGCAGATTGAATATTCAAACCACCTCTGTCTGACTTCAGTATCCATATCATCAGAGCTGCCTCCTAGGGCTGGGGCTAGGATGAGGTGGAGAAGATGAATAAGTCTCTTACTTTAGGTGCAAAATCTAAGGGAGACCCACAAACTCAGAAACCAATATAAAGAATATTTTAATACAATACTCTACAAAATCAAAATAAATGCAAAAAAAAAAATTGATGATCAACATGGATTTTAAAATAACAAAGTTTAAAGTAAAGACAGGACCATTATTACCAATTACCCTTTTGTCTCAAGCTCCAACGTGGCCTGCCATGACACAGTTACATGTTGCAGATACCTGTTGTTGTTGTTGTTATGTGCTGTCGAGTCGGTTCCGACCCATAGCGACCCTGCACAGGGTTTCCGAGGGTGTAAATCTTTACGGGAGTAGAATGCCTCATCTTTCTCCCGCGGAGCAGCTGGTAGTTTAGAACCGCTACGCTACCTAGTCCTACACAATTTTTGGCACTCCTGGTGTGGCACTGTGGGTTTATGCGCTATACTGCAAGGTTGGTGGTTCAAGCTCACCATCTGCTCTTGGAAACCCTATACAGGATTGCGATGAGTCAGAACCGACTGGATGGCACTTACCAACAATAACAACCACCTGCATTCTAAAGGAGCAATCTGTTATTGATACTGTCTTTATTTAAAATTGTAAGCTGAGTCATAGGATGACAGTAAAGTTTTAGGAGGATTAATTATGTTGATGGTGTGTAGAGAAGCCTGAGTCAGACAAAGTCCTGGTGTGGCACTGTAGGATAAGCATTGGACTGCTTACTACATGGTTGGCAGTTCAAACCCATCAGTCACTCCTCAGAAACCTTACACAGGGTTGTTATGAGTTTGAACTGACTCACTAGCACTTAACAACAATGAGAAGAGCAGCCCAGAAAAGAAAGAGACTGGAGGGGTTTGAAAATTGAAAAGATGCCTAATCCAAGTGAAGATGGGGAGGCACATTGGGTACGCAGTTCACAGATGTAAATCCACCTTTCTCTGTCATCTCTGTGCTAAATAACTTGGGCAACAGAACCATAACAAGATGGCCTAATTTATGTGAAGTCACATCAATTCTCTGCCTCCCATGCAGTGAACCACAGATGCTCTGCTACTTCAGATGTCCCTGCTAATACGAGATCTGTCCCCTTACTCTTGAAGGTACCCGTATGGGCAAATACCCATGTTTCTCATGTCCATCCTCCTTGTTATTTTGGAGAATTTCATCCTGTCTTCTTCCAACTGTAGGCCTGTTCTTCCAGCCTATCATTTCAAATCTTTCTATATACTCCAGATCCTGAAGTCTCCTCATTTTCCCTGGTCATTTTGGTTGTCTTTCTCTGAATCTTTTCCAACTCCATGATCTTTCTTGGGTTGAAACATGCAGTATGCTATACATACTACTTGTTGATGTTTGTATATCAACACTATGTAAAATTATGTGTATGTTTCTAGAATGCTGGCAATGTGCCTTAGGGACCTTACATTTAGTTCAGTTAGATTCCCCTCCATGTACAGATTCAAAGACACAGGAAATTAGCTTGGAGTCTTGGTGTGGTACTGTGGGTTAATGTGTCAGACTGCAAAGCCATTTGTACTGCAAGGTCAGCGGCTTAAGTTCACCAGCTGCTCCTCAGAAACCCTATACAGGGTTGCTATAGGTTGGGATTGACTCGACGGCACTTAACAACAACAACAATACTCTGAAGGTGATTGTGGTGAGTTCGTTGCCCTTCTTCTGCAAGCAGCTGGCCTCTGCCAGTCCCTATCCTCTTCCAGAGGCAGAGCCCGGGTACAACCATTCTTAGTAAAGAGGAAGAGGGAGGCAGTAGCAACCCACACTGTATACTTGTACCTACAGTGCTTGGCCTTTCCCTCTTCCATAGAGATAAGTTCATCAGATACCAAAGGCCACAGAGGCAGGGATTAGTAGTTGTCTTATATGCAGAGGTAAAAGTATTATTTTCGTATGGTTCTAGACAAAGATGTTTCATTTCCAATATCTTCTATTGATGCTGACATTTTGCCAAGAAAAAAGTATACATTGGTCAGTATATTTAGGGGTTGGCTTCTGATTACTCTTAGCTTCCTTTCCTTGACCAAGATGAATTTTATATAATGTTCATGTTATTCAGACTATAACATTATAAACCTGGTCTGAAACTATATTCTATAACTTTATCGTTATATAAACTATAAGAATGTATAGAATCGGTATAAAATATTTTTCATTTCCTTCAAGCAGGACAAACAGAAAAAAGAGTCAGAAATATTTAGTTCCTTTTAAGATTGTTTGTACCCACCACTGTTTTATAAGGGGAAGGGCAAGAAAGACAAAAGTTCAAGAGAAAGGTAAAAACCTGGAGAGTAAGTAGCTCAAATGTCTAGTGGGCTCTGGCCAATCATAAAAGTAAATAAAGTTAATTAATAAGATGTGTGGGAACCACAGAGGAGTTTAGAAGACATGCCTTATCTAAAATCAGTGTCAGCTAATTGTTGCTGTATAAGAAGGCAATCCAGCAGTGAACTATCTTTTGATTTTCCAAAACAACTAAAAAATCTGGATTTTTATGTGCTGTTATCTAATTATTAAATGCTGGCAACTAACCCAAACTAAAGGAGGGGAGGGAAAAGAGGACAGAAAGAGAAAAAGTAAGAAAAGAAGGAAGGCAGGAAGGAGACAGAGGCCAAGCCAAGCAATGACAGGTCCCAGGAACTGCCAGTGTGTGACTCTTGCCTTATGCAGAGTTCTTAGTTCATGTCTTTCCCCAACAATTCAAGATATGTCTAGGAACTTTGTTCAAAGTGTCCTCAAGATCAAATGCAGGTAGAATTTCCACTGCTCTGTCAGTTCTTTAAATTTATCAGTAGTTTTTATTGAACACCAAATATGCACAACGTATATCATTACATACTTTAAATGAATGATGTTAGCAATTAATTACATGAAACGGAGAGATGCAACTTCCGTGATGGTTCCGAGATACATACTGAAATGTTAGCTGCTTTAAAAACAAAACTTGATCACATACATATCAAGAAAATTGTTTCTTTAAAACAAATAAGCTGGAGTACTCAGTTTCTACAATTCACTTCTGAATTTAGTTAAGTTGTAGATCACTAGGCATAATTCCTTTAAAATGCAGAGCTTCTAAAAGAATTCATCAAAAGTCAACCATCCTTAAAGTCTTTTCTTGAAGTCAGGTTTTATTTCTGAATAGTTTCTATCCTCATAGAGACCGTCCATGACACCAAGAGGCATCCAAGTTCACAATAATTCAGAATGGGGGGGTGGGGGGAAGAAAGAAAAAAGCCTCCAATTTTGTCAGCTGATTAGGTGATAAATGGCTCTGAATAATTCAGGCTGGTGATATTTTAATATAAATGTGTAGAACAACAGTACATTGCATGCCGCTTCCCACCCAAGAGACTCATTACTTTCACTCTTTCCCCCATACACTCAGCCTCTCTGTGTACCCACCTCTCTCCCTAATCTATAGTTTTTGTATGCTTAAAGTATGCCTACTTTTATTTCCACTATTTCTTGTCCTCTAATCAAAGTTAATACTTTTAAAGAAATTTAAATTTCTTTGCTGTTTGAGATTTTCTATACCTCTACACCCTCATCCCAAACGCCCCTTCCCGCTCTAGAAGCTGGACTGCTTCCCACTTTCTATCCCCAGATCCCTAGGCCTCACAATACCATTAGATTCCCCTCCTTGCTGAGCTGAACCCCATCCCCCACCCCGTTCCCCAATACTCCTACACCCTCTGCTCCCTCTCCGGGTCAGAAGCCTCAACCATTCCAGAAATTGACAAAGAAGTTACAGAGGGAGTGCCACTTCTCAGCGCAGTAGGTTTCTGTGAGCTCCGCGTTCTGGTCCAGCCCGTCCAGGTCCAGCCCGGTTCCCATGTGTCGCTCTTCGTCGGGGCTCAAAATCCCCTTCTTCTTGCCCCCTTTGGTCTTCTTCTCAGAGGGCTTCTCTTTGGACAACGTGCTCGCGGGAGGTGCGGACTCCAGGCCCCTGACCCGCGGTTTGGGCTTCCGGGGGAAGCCAGCCGCTGTGGAGCCCGCGGGCCGGGACGCGCGGGGCGCGAGGCGCAGCTGGGCGCCGTGGCCCTTCTTGCCGGAGCACAGGCGGACCCTGAGCCGCGCGGGGTCGTGGCAGGGCAGCCGCTTCTTGCGCAGCCGGCCCAGCACCTGCTTCCAGTAATGCGCGCCGCGGGCCGCGTAGGCGGCGCAGAGCTCCGGCTGCCAGTGATAGACGCACTGGTAGCGCGCCCCGTCCGGGCCCTGGCAGCTAAGCGCCAGCTCGCTGCCCGCCGCAGCTCCCGGAGTGGGCAACAGGAGCTGCCAGCCGCACGCGTGCTGCTCAGGGCTGACAAAACGGCCCGAGGAGCCTCTCGCGAGGTCCAGGGCCGGCGGCGCTGCGCTGCCAGCCGCCCCCTGGTCCTTCCGGGCCGCCGCGAGGAGACAGTCTGCCAGCACCACCAGCAAGAGCGGCGCTTGCACCTTTGGAGAAATCATGGTCCGCGGGGCTCGCCTCGGCGTTCTGCTGTGCTCTTCTGGGTCCCTTGAAAGCTTCAGCAGAGGCAGGACCAGTCAAGGAGCATCCCCTGGACCTGAAGACAGAGGCAGACAGAGAAGGCCACCAGTTGAGACCAGCATAGCCCTTCTCTCCTGCACGTGCACCTGCGAGTCTTCCCTCCCCTCCCCAGGCTTTCTACCTGCTGGCTTCCAGTGCTAGGGGACCCTCTGAAGAGCTTTCTTGAGGGAAAACCAATTACTGCCTAAAGAATTGTTTTGAAACCATTTGTGCTTTGGGGTTTTCTTCCCCCATGCAAATACAACTACAGCAAAGTGATTTTCGATAATGAATTACAATTTCCACTCCTTCCCCTCTCCACCCTCCAATCTACAAAAACATTTCAGATTGTTTCTGGGAAACATACACTTTTACTGTACTTTGAACTTACGGAATATCGCGATAGGTGGCGGAGTCTTAGTAGGATACAGGGAACCACTGCTTGAGAGGTTAGTCCGTTTTAGTCGTCTGCCTGTGAATGAATGTGTTATCAATGGGACAGGAGGGCCCCACCACTATGCCCCTCCCAAACTTCTCATACTCTAGAGATTTCCCACCACTCTGCACATGCACACACCATACGTGATGGAAGTGGCACTGTAACATGAAATACAAAGCATGTGTTTTGCTTCAACTATTTAAAAATAATCATGAGAATTTTTATAAATAGGACTTTTATTTCATTTTACATATTTAACCATCTGAAAATAGTTATTCAGAAAGATAATAAGCAAAATGAAAAAACAACAACACGTGTTAAGATTCTAAAGCAGGTCTTATTTTCACAGTCTTACTATCAATATCCTTTCTACCTTTCCTTTCATTCTGAGTCCTATATTTTGGCCCATTTTTTGGAAACTTTCTCATCCTAATAATATAATTTTAATAGTACTATTAAAAATATGCTACCCAATTTCGTTAACCGATCACCGTGTCCAGCAGTTCACTCAGGCATAAACATTTGGACTTTTGATTATTTTTAGATATTATAAATCAGCTACAAACATATTATAAAAATTAGAAGTAAAAAAATTGGGGGGTATTATAAGATAATGTTACTGACACAAATGGCATAAACTGTAAGAATGTGTTCTTGACTCGAAAATTTTATATTTAAGCAAAGTTACCTTTTTAAACTAAGGAGCATTGCTAGTGTAGGGGTTCCGAGTTGGGCTATTAACCTCAAGGTCAGCAGTTCAAAATTACCAGCCGTTCTGCATGGAAAAATGAAGCTCTTTGCTCCTGTGAAGATTCATAGCCTCAGAAACCCTACACAGGGTCATTAACTAACTCCACAGCACATAACCACTACCACCAGCACCTTTTTAAACTACAAAATATTCCACCATCTTTTTTAAGTCTTCATAATAATATGTGCAATCTATTTTTTATTTCAAAGAGCTCTGGTAGCGTAGTGGTTACGAATCGGGCTGCTAACCTCACGGTTGGCAGTTCCAAACTGCCAGCCGTTCCACGGGAGAAAGATGAGGCTTTCTGCTCCAGTAAAGATTTACAGCCTCGGAAACTCTGTGCAGAGTCGCTATGAGTCGGAACTGACTGTATGGTACTTAACAACAACAACATTTTTAATTTCAATAGTTTATACCTCAGACTATAATAAGTATATATACAAGTAAATTATATTATACAAGTATAATAAGTATTATATACAAGTAAATATTTTCCTAAAATAGTTGCCAAGATGCCAAAAAGTCCCATTATATTTCCTAATATCTTTGGGAGGCAGCATTTTCTACTACTGAGCCCCCATTGTTATTTTATTTGAACAATTATAATTTGAATTTTTGTTAAGTGCCCTCGAGAGTTGGTTCCGAATAATGACCCTGTATAAGGTTTCCGAGGCATGGCTGGTGAGCTTGAACTGCTAACATTGTGATTCAACCTTGCAGTCCAGCACATTAACCCACAGAACCACACCAAAAGCTTTAGAATTATAGAAATGTACTAATATATAAGAGTAGAGTAAAACAGAAACACCAGTCAAGCTGAGAAAGATTCATGGAGACCCCATGTGTGTCAGAGTTTTCAGTGACTGATTTTTAGAAGTAGATCACCAGTTCTTTCTTCCAAGGTGCCTCTAGGGAGACTCAAACCTCCAACCTTTCAGTTAGCAGACAAATACATTAACCATTTGCACTATGCACTATGTAGTAGTGTATATTGACTTAAGAAAGGACATTTATACCACTGTGATAAAATCAGAGAGATTAAATGACTTGTCTCAGGTCATGTATCTATTTAGTGATAAAGCCATAAACCATCAGACTTTCAATAACCAATGACCCTAATATTTTAGCTTTGTATTTTACTACTTTCCAAGTTAGTTATATCTTAACCGTTGCCACTGAATCACTGAGTCAGCTCAAATCTATTGTTGCAGCCAGTATGTATTTTGAGTGCCTTCCACCCTACGGGGCTCCTCTTGTAGGATTATATGAGATGATTTTCTCTCGTGGTCCATAGGGTTTTCATTGGCTCATTTTTGGAAGTAGATTGATAGGCGTGTCTTCCTCATCTGTGTTAGTCTGGCAGCTCTACCATGGGTGACTCTGTTGGTATTAAAAAGACTGGTTACATACCTTCTAGCATCATAGCAACATGTAAGCCACCACAGTATGACAAACTGACAGACAGGGTAATGAGTGTCTTAACTACACCAACATAACATAATGAAAACCAATTAGTGCCTATGAAGTTCAGAAATACTAAAATAGTCCCTACTTGGTATATATCCTTGAGAAATGAGAGCCATAATATATGAACACCCATAGTCATTGCAGAACTATTCACAATATCAAAAAGATGGAGACAGCCTAAATGCCCATCAACAGAGCAATGGTTAAACAAACTTTGGTAAATACACATAATGGAATACTATGCAATACTGAAGAATAATGACAAATCTGCAAAACACTTCATAACATGATTGAAACAGGAGGACATTATGCTGAGTGAAATTAGTCAATCACAAAAGGACAAATGTTGTATGATACCACTGTAGTAAAAAGCTAAGAAAAGGTTTCCCTGCTAAAAGTAACTATCTATAAAGTTCTATGATGGTTACCGGGAGTGGGAGGGAAGGGAAAATTATTCATGGGTGACAGGGAAGGCAATCTACAACAAGAGGGAAGTTGACACAAGAAAAGATGTAGGTAGTTGAAGACACAGAGAGGAGTGTAAGAGTTAAAGTGAATACAGGTAAATTCTGCTAACTGATGGTACATGAAAGGGTTTGCAATCATTGTAATGACACAAAGTGTATGATTTCAGACTGATGATCTGTTCTATAAATCTTCACTCAATTGACAATAAAAATGTTTTTTAAAAAAATACTAACATGCTCCATAAGCAAGAATAACTAAATTATAAAATTCACAGGTGAAAACTCTCACTTCCCCAGAAAATTGTATTGTGTGAGTAGAGTACTGATGAATCTTTTGTATATTGCTCTGGGATTATTTGGTTGCTTCGGTGCTGAATTAAAATAGTTTTCCAGCTGAAGAGTGACATCTTGTGGCATTCTGCACTACTGCAAAGAAAAAGTTTATTATCTGAGCAGTCATCATTACTGATATTCCAAAGGTATATATACTTTGCTACCAGAAACATTGTTATCAAAGGAAAAAGTAAGGGAGTTCAGATTTGCTGTGTGCCAGGTTACAAAAAGCCAGCTAATTTTCTTTTTTAACTTTATATTATGAACCGGTTTTTCCATACAACAATATGTACACATTTTGTTTCGTGTCATTGATCGCAATTCCCATAATATAACATTCTTCATTCTATGTCCTCCTGTGTTTGCAATTTCCATTCCTCCTTTTCTATCCCTTCCTGACTTCTGAACTTTGTCCTTGGCAAATGTTATCCTTTTGACTGTAGGTTGTGAATCTCCCTACTTTTGTTATAAAATTTCCTATTGTTCAGCTGAAAATTGAGCTACAGAGGTGAGTTCAGTGTTTCTTTATATAAATGAAAGCAAATAATAATAATAACACATGTATAAAAATATTCATAATCACAATAGCCAAAGCATGAAACCACATAAAATGTGGTCCATACATACAATGGAATGTTGTTGTTGAGAGGCCATCAAGTCAGTTCTGACTCATAATGACCCTGTATAGGGTTTCCAAGGAGCAGGTGAGCTTGAACCACCAACCGTGTGGTATAAACCGACTTTGCAGTCTAGGCATTAACCCACAGTGCCACACCAGGAATCCTAATGGAATATTATTTAGCCATAAAAAATGAAGTTCTGATATATGCTACAACACCGATAAACCTTGAAAACCTTAAACTGAGTAAAATAAGTCAGATGCAAAAGGACAAATATTGGATGATTCTACTTATATGAAATATCTAGAATAGGCAAATACATACAGACCAAAGCTTATTAGTGATGGGAGGAGGGGAGAAATAGGAAGGGCTCCTGAGTTTCTGTTAAGGATGATTTTAAAAATTTATAAGTCGATAGTGGTGATATTTGCACAACATGGTGAACCTAATTAGAGTTTTAAAGTTTTAAATTGTACATATAAAAATGGTTGAAATGGAAAATATTTTGTTATACATATTCCATCACAAAAATGGTGGAAAAAAGAGATATGGCAAAAAGGTAAACCAGCATTAATTAAATTGTGATATAGCTGCAGATCGGAGCTCTGGTAGCGTAGTTGTTACGAATCGGGCTGCGAACCTTAAGGTCAGCAGTTCGAAACTACCAGCCGCTCCGCGGGAGAAAGATGAGGCTTTCTACTCCCGTAAGGATTTACACCCTTGGAAACCCTGTACAGGGTCGCTATGGGTCGGAACCGACTCGACGGCACTTAACAACAACAACAATAGCTGCAGATAAGCCGTTTGAACTGCAAGGTCGGCGGTTCAAGCTCACCAGCTGCTCCTTGGAAACCCTATAAAGGGT